TGTTTGAAAGCTTTTCTCCTTTCAGAAAAGATTCAGAAAAGTTGTGACACACTCAAATTAGCGAATTATGTGTCAGATTAAAATAAAAACAAGAATTTAAAACGGTTTTTCTCAAAAAGAGACATTTTAAATTTTTTTAAAAAACATGTTTTTAAAGATATAATTTTTAAACACAACATAAATCTGAAGGTTGTATCTTTACGGAATCAGGAGTTGCGGTGAGATTAGTGATAGTATACTAGAAAAACCTTTAGTTGAAGCAACATTTCAGCGTTTTCGAAAGTCTCAGAACCTCTGTTTCCACCAGAATTTTATTTGTTTTTTGTAGTATATATAACTCTTGTAAAAGTTTTCAACTCTTCTACCTCCGTAACAAACACTTAGTTGAAATTTATTTACTTTTAAACAATTTCACAAAATTTTTTCTAGAAAAATTACTGTTATGACTATTTTTATGGTTTATATGGCTCTGCTTGCTTATTAAACCCTTCTAACCGAAATATATCACACTCAGTACTTTTTTTTGACTGCTAGTATTGTTTTGCTGGTTTTCCCCTCAACGCTTTCTAGTATAATGCAATAAAATTCTTTATGTATTTGACTGGCAAATCTACGCGAAAATGTGATACTAGAAGTGCTCCTTTCCTTTCATATTTTTGTGAAAGTAATAAAATCATTGCGAGTATTGTTGTTCTTCTGTTTTTGCAGCAGTGCGTTAATTTGAAACTTGATGACATATTCAGAAGATCAGCAACGATGGCCGGCATGAGAGGCAAACTTTCAAACTAAATCCCAACTCAGAATAACCTTTACAAATGGGTTTAAACTAAAAAGAAGAAATACTAGTGATCCCATTACCTTCATATAAATATTAAAGGAGAGGAGCACTTCCAGCATCGCATTTTCGAGTACGTCCATCAGTGAAACATATAAAAAATTTCATTGCACTATACTACAAAACGTTGACAGCAAAAATAGCAAAACAATACTAGCAGTCAAAAAAAAGTACTGAGTGTGATATATTTCAGTTAGAAGGGTTCAGTAAGCAAGCAGAGCCATACAAACCAAAAAAATAGTCATAACAGTAATTTTTTCTAGAAAAAATTTTGTGAAATTGTTTAAATGTAAATAAACTTTGACTAATTGTCTGTTACGGAGGTAGAAGAGTTGAAAAGTTTTACAAGAGTTAT